TATATATATATATATATATATATATATATATACATATGAATAAAGGTAAATTGTAGTAATGGTTAAACGTATAAAGATGCGTTATACTGATAGCAGCGATAAAGATAATTATAAAAGGAAATGAAGTAGATGTGTTGCAATGTGCAGTAAGAATGGTTCGTCGGTCTTCAATAAATATCACGACGTATGATTAATATAATAATAAGTCGGCTCTGTGTGTATAATGAAGATGCAATTTGCGTGTGTAATGTATGAAGGATAAGGTTGTTTTAATGCTCTAAGAACATTACTCTACTACTGACTGTCCCGTGCTATTGTCCACATCATCATCTCTGCTCTATTTACTGTATACTCCAACTAATCACCTGCAAGTTTCGAACGTAGATTATTGTGTGTGGCTAATAGCAAGCAGTGTACGTACTCAGTCAACAAACCATCATTAAAAAAGAGCAATTATCACGCATTCGTTAATTTGTACATACCTCTGTTTTCCTTCCTTATTTGCAAAATCATTTCACGATTATTTCCCTCACTACAACTGAAGTGTAGTTTTGTTTGAGTTTACTTTTTAAACAAAACTGTATCATATGATTGCATTTACCAGCAAGCTATTTCACAGGCATTCAGTTTTTTCTTGTCAGAAAGAATGACTGAAATAAAATATGCCAAAATTGAATATAAGTCATAATGCAGATTGTGAAATAGATGAGATAACGCATCAACATTGTGACTGATTGCATCCGAAAAGGAATAAGATGAATGAGTACGTTTTTGTGGATCANCCATCGAGTATATCAACAATTCTCAAAGATGCGCACATTTTGAGACTTTTCATATTCAAGAATTAAAATGCTTCTTCATTTACTTAATATTCCTATTTGTGCACAACGAAGAACAACTAATTCCCATTTGGGATCGGTTGCTCCAGCGAATGCGTCCACTAAATCAGTGTTCTTTTATTATTGTATTTCGTTTCTCCCCGTTTTGAATGTACGTCGTTTTGATCCTTGACGTTTTTTTGGAAAGGACTTTATGTGCTACATGATGACATCTACGTGCTACAACCCATTCTTTATTTTGGATCGGTCAAATATGATTTTTCATTTTACATTATTGAAATGCTATCAATGCAAACAACTCGTGATTTATTTGCAATCTTAACCGAAATCATTAGCACTCGCGCTTCAGTTTATTCGAACTATTCTGCGTCTCTGTCATTTTCCTTTCGCTTTTTGTAGCATCCTTTTATAGTTTATGCATTGCAGCAAACTATGCTTCCATAATGTGAGTTTCATTACCAATTCCATTAATTCCAGTCATTAAAAATTACCTCCATACTTTTTGCAAAAAAAAGATTCAAATGATTCACGAAGACCACCCAAACTGCATAATTTCTAATCTATCATATTCAGTGCGTGTGTCATTGGAACTGATAATCAGTGCTACTGAAAAATTATGCGATTGCATAACAGTTTTCGTTGAAGGCCGAACAATAGGGACATTTGGAGAGGTAGTTGGCGAATTCTCTGAATAGTTGCACCGGAAATTCGATCGAGCGACAAATTTTGCGTAAATTTTTTGCTATGACTGATTGAAATGGGCTAGTAGCTCTTTTGAGGGTTGCTTGCGAAAGAATCATTGTAAGTGTCTTTCTTTAGTTTGACTAGAAACCGCATGCTTTTCAACGTGAATTTTTTACGTCTTGCATTTCACTGAATTAATCTCTTTTTAAATATTTTTGTAAAATATTCCTCTTTAATAATCCAGTTTCAATATATCTTCATAAAAACTCACTTCTAAACAGGTTCCTAATAATCGTGAATGCCTCCGCCCTAATGCGTTAGGCATAATTTTGAATGCACATTTGCTCGCTCGTTATTATCGCATCCTAACGGTTGATCAGTTTTTCAAGCATCTTCAAAGCGCGCATTTTAATCTGTTTTCAGTTCAGTTTTATTGAAATCGCGAATTTCTTCAAATATTTTCATTCAGTGGTGGGGAAGCTTTCTCGTTGCTTCAGATTTTTTTGAGTTTATCCACAATGTTTTGCCTTAGATACGTAAATTTGCACATACGCATCATTCCTCGCAAAGTTTCTCAGTGCAGCAGCAGGAGCGGTTCGGCGGGCATTGAGTACGTGCTCATCGTAACATGTGTTTGGCTAACGTGCACAAAAAATGTGCGTGGAAGGAGTTTTTTGAAAACCTTCTCACTATTGTATAGTAATAAATTTGAAATGTTTAACGTTTTAAAATGGTTTTTGATTGCTTATCATAAGGTTGCGATTGAATACGTTCCGTATGTTTGAGTTGTGTTCATGTGTGTATTTATGTTCTGTTTGCTTGTGAAAAAGTAACCAATTTCGAGATGAATTGTTAAAAGTGCTTAGCTAATCGTCACTAGCCAGTTTCATTTACATTATTCGACACCTGCCACTAACACACTTTTTTTATTGATCATTTCTTGCCTTTTTCTCAAAAACTTCACTATTCACTCATACGTTATTCAGTATATTTCATATTTTACTCATACCATCATCATCTTGAATAGATCTGAAAATGAATTTTTTGTGTATCACTTAAAGTTATTGAGTTGATCACTTATTCTGAATACAGAATTTTTTCAACCAATACAATCGATTGATTAGAAGCAAATAATCAT